ATCAATGGAACATCTCCACCATTTAGACCTGGAATAGAGTCCAAAAAGCTTTCCATCCTGCTTTGATCAAACTCTTTCCTCCCAAGAAGTTCAGTATAAAAGGATCCCATGACCTCCAGAATCCCTGACCTGGACTTTGTCAAGGAACCTGTCAGGGCTCCAGGTATGACTAGAGGGGTGTGGTCTGACACAGGGAAACACAGGCATCAGATATGTTATAAACAATATAGTTTATTAAGACTAACAATACAAAACGCAGTGCAAAACTAAACCTAAACACAGTGCAAACAAACCAAACCAAACCACCCACAGATAACAATACATACAATGCAAGAGTCGTCAGGCAGGCCGGGTCAGTAGCAAACGGGCAAATGGAATACCAGGAACAGGCGGGAGAGTGGTCGGGGTCACAAGCTGGGTTCAGTAACTCACGGGCAGCGCGTTGCAGAGGGTCAGGCAGAGAATGGTCAGGGTCACAAGCCAGGGATCAAACAGGAGAAGTCAGCAGAGGTCAGGATCAGGCAGGGTCGGCAACAAGTCAGACAGGAACAGGAATACAAGATACAGGGGCCCATGGAAAAACACACACCAAGGCCCTGACTGTGAGTCTGGCCATTCCTTAAATACAACCCCTGCAATCAGCTTCAGGTGTTTGGCTGATTGCAGGGGTGAGTCTCTGATTGCTGAGAGCACCCACTGGCCAGCCCTGGTACTGCAGTCCACAAGGCAGGTGAGTCCCACCATTATTGGCAAGTCCATTCCTGACAGAACCTGTACTATCCTTAAGGCCAACCACCGTCTTAACTGCTACACCTTGTTTGGAGTTCTGGTAAGGGTTGGGCGAGTGGTACTTCCCATAGTCCCTCTCCAGAACCAAAGAGGCATTCCGGTCATATTGATACTTCCTGAGGAGGAGTTTCACCTCAGAGATTGTCCCAGGATCTCCTCCTCTCGAGACAAGAATATCCAGCTTCCTCCACAACCTTTGGTAGGTCATGTGTCTATCAAACTGCTTTCTGGTGGCTAGGCCCCTGAAGAATCCAGCGATCCTCTTTTTGGTCAGTTCCCACCACTCATCCTTGCTGCTACAAAAGTCCAGGATGGTCACCTGTGTCTTAAAGAATTCCTCAAAGGATTGGCTAATATGTTCTTCCTCGAGGAGAGTCGAATTCATTCTCCAGATGCCCTTGCCCCTTTGATGGGAATCTAAAGCATTCAAGACCACAGATAGCATACAGTGATCAGAGAACTCTACTGCCTGCAACACTGGGTGAGAGAAAGCAGAGGTCTCCTTTAAAAAATACCTATCTATTCTACTCTGGCTATTACCTTGATGAAAGGTGACCCTGTGTCGTCTGGGAGGTGCTTAATGTGCACATCCACAAGACCAGCATCCCTTACCACACTATTCAAAAAAAAAACGCTATCATATCCCAGCTTGTCTTTGAAGTCCTTCCTGTCCTTGGGCCTAGTCACAGTATTAAAGTTACCTCCAAAGACCACTTGCCGGGATGTAAAAAAGAAATGGCTTGTTCCTTGTAAAAAGGCATTTCCTGTCCCAATTCGTGTGTGCCCCATAAACATTAATTAGGCGCAGGCCCTGCCCTCCCACAATGATGTCTAAGACCATACATCTCCCAATCTCCACCTCAATAACCCTTCAGACAGTTACCATGCCAGTTTTAAACAACTCCGCCACGCCGCTGTAAGGCTCAGCCGCAAGAGACCAGTAAGATGGACCATGCCTCCCCTCTCTCTTGGCCATATGAATATCTGCCAAGGAGGTGAGCCTAGTCTCTTACAAAAATAAAATTTCAGCATCTAATTGAACAAAAAGAAGGTCATAGAAAGATCTCTTATCTCATCGACCAACCCCCAGTCCAGATGCTGCGTTCATCAAGAAATTTATCTGATTTTGTCAAAACCTCCCAATAATGTCTCAACCAGACCTCTAGGTCTCGAGCAGGAACACTCTCTTTACTGAGGATGATGGTTAATTTTTTCACGGTTGACCTATGCCTCCCACACTGACACTAATGATGGGGCACCATCATTGGTGTCAGTGGGAGGAATAGTGTCCCATCATTGGTGTCAGTGTGGGAGGAATAGTGCCCCATCGTTGGTATCAGTGGGAGGAATAGTGCACCATCATTGGTGTCAGTGGGAGGAATAGTGTACCATCATTGGTGTCAGTGTGGGAGGAATAGTGCCCAATCATTGGTGTCAGTGGAAGAAATAGTGCCCCATCATTGTTGTCAGTGGGAAGAATAGTGCCCCAACATTGGTGTCAGTGGGGGGAATAGCGCCCCACCCTTGTTGTCAGTGGCAGGAATAGCGTCACACCTTTGTTGTCAATTTGAGAAATAGCACCCCATCGTTGTTGTCAGTGGGTGGAGCTCTCACAGGAAGAGGTGGGAATCTAAAGAGGAAGGGGTGGAGTTTACAGATGAAGAGGTGGATCTTAAACAGGGTGGGGCAAATTTAGATGTGGGGGGGTGCCCGATTTTAGTCTTGCCTAGGGCAGCACAAAACCAAAATACACCATTGCTTTTGGTAGATGTTAAGGTAGCCTTAAGCCAAAAGAAAAGAAAGCCAAAGAAAATACACCTCATATAGTGTAATAAATCAATAAAACGTCCAATATTTATTAAAATATTGCAATTATATTCAAGATAAAACAACTCGCTTTAAAAATCAGGAGATCTCGTCTTGTATTTCCTTAACTCTGAGTCATTTGCCTCCGCTTATACCGACGCATTGCGTCACTGTCGCGTGACTTCATTAGGGAATAATAGGGGGCAGATAGCATATCCTTAAATAGCCTTTGATAATGACTTGATTGGTGGCCATTTTGTTGAAGTCTGATATACGGCGGCCATTTTGCCTATGATTTCCAAAGGCATTTGATCGCCATTTTACTGAAGTCCATACATGCTGTTGCATACAATAATTATCTTGTATGGTAGACATACAATCCACCATTAAACGTATCAATGTGAATACAATGAACATAGAAGTTCACACTATATAGCACAAGCGAACCTCAAGTTCTATATAAATACACAATTAGATAATACCACGATAAAAAATAGATTAAAAGATAACTATGCAGTATTGGGTGACTATATATAGTAAAGATGATACATACTGAATCTAGACAACAATCAATTCATATGTGACCTCTACTTCTAATTTTATATCTTATGAAGTAAACAACAAAATCTGGGTACAAAGTGATATTACTGAATATTATGGTAGCTCCTAGAAATCGTTACTAAAGCAATTTAAATCGAATTCCACGTTGAGGCCACTAGGGGTCAGCATGTTCATCAAAAAAATCCACTTGGACTCTAACAGACTGATGGTTCTAATTTTGTGGCTGCCTCTCCAATGTCTCTGATGGCTCTCAGGAGCTGTTCAGAATGTTTTTTTTCAGCAGCCCCTGAACTCTCCCTAATGTTTTCCTATGTGTCCATATACACATAGTCGTTTACAGGCAGTTGGGGTTTACAGTCGTTTTTTTGAATGCACCAAACTTGCGTTCAGGAGTAGATTTTACCGGGTGTTTCAAACACCAAATGCTTGTAAACATGGTTAATCGCGTTTATAAACGTTTGCGTTTAGAAGCGGTTTTTTAACTGTTCCATGTCCATATGCTGTCCAGAGCCTTTTTTCCTCATCAGAAATGCATGCAAAGCATTTTCCATGTATTCAAATGGACCCAGTACACCAGCGCAGTCAGTTCCAGGTTTCACGTGAAGGAAAAAATGGTAGAACGTGCTGCATTATGCTCATGATGGGATCCACAGTGAATACAACCAGAAAAGACAGGTCATCTCAACACATACTGCTCTCTTGGCTTCTGCACTCTCTATTCCTCTCAAGATGTCTGAAATAGTTAATTTTTTACTATTTTACAGTGTATTCTGGGCATTTGAGAGGGTCTCCAGCGGTTATCTTTTAAAAACGCTTCTGAACGCAAACGCACATAAAAGCGCATAAACGCAGTATGCAAACGCTGCTAAACTGATGATTTTTAACCTACGTTTTCCAGCAGTCAGTTTCCATCCTTCAGAAGAGTTTTCCAAACGCCCCGTGTACGTGAGCCCTTATATGTTTATATTCCCACAATTTTAATTGGGAAGGATCTTTATGTACTAATGGGTTCCAGATAATTAGCATCTTTATTGGCGGTGCCAGGATGATGTAGCTTTTGCACATGTGTGGGAGTTTATTCATATTGCTGAAATTGTACAGTTTAGTGTCAAGAAGTAGGAGAACAGGCAGGTAGAGCCCTTTATTGTGGATGAAATATTCCATCTCTCTTCTGCATTAAGAAGTCTGCCTGTTCACGATTTATCATTTCTACTTAAAGGCCTAGTTTACACTTGCGGGTTGGAGGGGCAACTGAGCCACATTTTTACCTTTCCCCCTAAGCTACAAAGGCAACTGCATGGAGAGATACACATGCCACGGTCGCAATGCTTTTGCATCGCAGCGTGCCAAAAATTATCCCCCAGTGGATAGCATCACCCACTGAACATGACTCATTCAAGTGAATGGGGCTGTGCTGCATCTGCTTACTCAGTGGTTTGTGGGCCTTTTTGGGGTTAACACTGTGGCAGAGGAAGTTTTATGTCTGTCAAAGGCCCACTGAAAAGCAATCCATTGTGGACTGCTCTTTAGAAGGCTAGCGTAAGTGTAAAGAGCCCTAACTTGTTTGCCTGAGCAGGTGCCTATGGCATGGCTGATTATAGAACCTTTGTTGGTACGGGTCAACATAAAGTAGGTCTTGATTGCTTATTGTTGCTTGTAAATTCAGTTGAACATCTGTAGGGTGAGATTCCATCTTCTTGGAACTAGAAGAAACAAAAACAGGGGAGTTTTTTTTGCACTTTTTACAATCATTTGCAAAATGAGGCGTGTCTGATCTCAGAGGACATTTAAATCCTCTGTAAGTAATGAGAGATCAGAGTGTCAGAGAGAAGGTCTTCTCCAACATGTTGTGGTCTACTCTCCTCCTCGCGGTCACCTCTTTCTACACATGTGAGTAGAGGTTGTAGAATCTGCCTGTGTGTATTATTTCTGGGTGATATAATTATCATGACAGCAACAGAATGGCACACTCTTCATATTCTAGAAAATAGATGTCATGATATTAATGTCTCAATCTTCACTATTCTTCTTCCATCAGGTTGTTATGGTCAGTATGTTCTGAATCAACCTTCTGAAATGACGGCAAAACCGGGAGAGACTGTTAAATTAACATGTTCAGGGGAGAATCTTTCTAGCAAGTATTATGTTCACTGGTTTCAACAAAAAAGTGGCAGTGCCCCTCGTCCTCTTATTTATAAAGATAAGGAAAAGGCAACAGGAACACCAGACCGCTTCTCTGGAGACAATTCTAATGATGTGGCCACTCTGACCATCTCTGGAGTTCTTGTTGAAGATGAGGCTGATTATCACTGTTATATAGGGGATAGTACTGCAGGCTGGCGCACAGTGTTACACACCAACAGACAAGTAGTACAATAACATGCTTGTATAATGAAGGCCATCATCCTGGGTAATAGAGTAAAATGTATCACTGATAGAAACAACTGCGATATGCAGCTGAACAGAAGGAGATTTATGTATGAAATATTACCATCAGTATACTTTATTTAACACGATCACAGAAATACCAGTATAGCAATTATGGTTCCTTACTATGCAAAATGTACTCCGTACAGTTCTTTAGGAAACCAATAGTAAAATTGTAGATCTTCACTTCAAAATATTTTACTAATATGAATGTAAACATAAAAATACATTACCTAGGCACTATGGAGTATTTTTTATAAAAAACTGCAGAGGTATTTATGATTCTACATGTACATTTGTTCTAGGGGACAAAAAACACACGTTATTTGGCCATTTTCTAAATTGAATGCTTTTCATTCATACAGAGTAGAGTGAATCAGGAAAATACTGCATTATGACCAATAGATGGAGCTGATGGTCATAGGAATAATTCTTCTATAGTTGTTCTGGACAAATAGTCTGCTTGCTGATCCTGTGTGAGCCTAGGTTTACACTGATGTGGTATGAGTTGAATGCAGTTTGCGGTGCGATTTCAGGAGCAGCGCCAGTGTGGGTTGGTACTGGAAGTCCACAGATGCGGTTTCCATTCAAGTCTGTGGAGTTACAAATCACACTGCATCAAACTAGCACAGGACCTTTTTTTAAATTGCATCAGATTTGCACTGCATATACTGTATGTAAACCAACACAATTTGTTGACTGCAACACTATATGTAACTGGTGAACCACACATAATAGATCTTAAATCCCACTCCTATGCGCAAACACAAAGTTATCTGTGCAAATAAATTTCTTAGGCTAGATTCACACCTATTCAGGTTGCTTTTGAGCCGTTTCTGCATTGCGTTTTGCTTTGCGTTTTTGCACCTGCGTTTTTGATGAGTTTTTGCTGCGTTTTTTTTTTCATTTTTTTAATTTTTCTTGTTACTAGGCAGATTTAAAATGCAAAACGCATCAACAAGCATCAAAAATACAGCAAAAAACGCAGCAAAAATGCAGTACATGCCTTTCTACAGCATTTCCATTGAAGTCTATAGAACCAAACATGCAGCTTTTTGCATTCAAAAAAGTCCCTGACCCTTTCCAAAAAACGCACCGGGTGAAAACGTGGAGAGGTGAACATGTCCCATAGGAAATCATGTTAAATGGACTGTACTGCGTTTCGCTTAGGTGTGAACCTAGGGTTACTCTGATCAAAAACATGGTTGTGCTGCTGCTCTCCAGCTGGAACGCGCCAGCTTAGATAAAATGTATGTCTAACAAGGATAGCACTGCTCTCCCACTATGTGATCTACTAAAGTGCTATTAGTGCTTATTATCACTTATTCTCAGGGGCGGAATGACCATTCAGAAACTCGGGCACTGCCCGAGGGCCCAGGGTCAGTAGGGGGCCCCATGAAATGCCCCTGGTACCTTTTTTATAGGCTTTTTTGAGTGTGGGCAAGGACACAGGGGCCCCATGATCCCTTATTGCCCATTGTCAGTCCGCCCCTGTTTATTCTTATATCTTAACATTTTGTAATATGCATTCATTGTGCTTCATCTCAACCATAAGATTATTAATAAAAAGATGTATAAATGTATCTATCAAAATTCAGTGCCAAATACCTTAATAACACAAATATGAACAAAGTAAATACAAAATGAACCAATACAAAATTTTATATTTAACTTAATACATGTGAAAGTGATTCCTGGCTATACAAAATAAATAGCAAGTCCATGCAAGTGTGTGTGGGGTCAATTCACTTAATAACGAGTTAAATAACGACTGAAAAAATGCGCTAAAATAATACATGTGGTACATTTTTTGCAAATGTGCAATTCACTAGGAATTTTGCGGTAAATAATTCTTGCGGTAAAATATCTGTATTGCGGTAATTACCACATATTTTCATGGGCAGCACAGTGGCTAAATAGTTAGCACTGTTGCCTGGCAGTACTAGGGTCGCTGGTTCGATTCCCAACCCTGGCACCACCTGCCTGGAGTTTGCATGTTCTCCCTGTGACTGCGTGGGATTCCTCTGGGTACTCCAGTTTCATCCCGCATTCCAAAGACATGCTGGTAGGTTAATTGGCTCCTGTCTAAATTGGCCCTAGTATGTGTATGTATGAATGTGAGTTAGGGACCTTAGATTGTACGCTCCTTGAGGGTTAGGGACTGATGTGAATGTACAATATATATGTGTAAAGCGCTGCGTAAATTGACAGCGCTAAGTACCTGAAATAAATAAATGCAGTAATTTATTGCACGGTAGTTGGTTGTTAAGGAAGCCAGCCGCAGTGTCCTTAACAACAGATAATGCATCAGCTGTCAGTGGTTGTCCCGCTGACAGCTGAATGAAAACAAAACATGCCAGCAATTGCAAATGATAAAAAAAAAAAACAGTGTGGGGCTCCCCCCCATCCACACCAGGCCCTTTGGGTCTGGTATGGATTTTAAGGAAAACCCCACACCAAAATGAAAAAAAAAAAACAGTATGGATTTTGGGGTGACCCAACACGGTTTAAAAATTTTTTTCTAATTTTAAAAATTTTAAAAAAATACACCATGTGATACTGCCAGCAAAACCCTGGTAATAAATATTGCTTCTTTTTTTACTTTCTGTTCTGTTTGTGAAATTGGACTATGGGAGTGAAGTCATGCCTACCCAGTTAATTCCTCCAAGTATTCTATCAATCACAGAACAGAGAAAAGCTCACATAGCATAAAACCTTTTTTAAAACCATACTTCTTTTATTATAAAAAATGCACTCACATGACAATGTGTCTCCATTGACACAAGTATTGACAGCGTACTTCCATCCAATCGGCTCCCTCCGACCAGAGCTATTGGCCGTGACTCCGGAGCTTTGGTGTCCGCGGTTTAAGTGTGGGCTGCAATTTAAGAAATGATGCAGGGTTCTTTTCCCTGTGTTTTCAGGAGCGCTGCAGCCCATTCATATGAATGGGCTACCAGGTCTGAACAAAACGTGTCTTGCAGAGCCGCAGTAGTGTGCACTAGGCCTAATAGCAACTGGAGATTTGAAGAATTAAAATTCAAGCCTGTTTTCGATACACATTCACTAGGGACTCAACCATGTTTCCTTCACCACTATAACTGTCAGGAGCAGGGCTGTCTTAATAGCATCATGGGCCCTTGGTAATATACTGGGGCCCCTACCAGCCTGCCCCAATTTATGAAGCTACTCTCAAGAATGGAAATAGAAATAGTTGATAGAATAAACCTAGTAACGAGCTTGTGGAGCCGATCGAACTGAACAGAAGGTGCAGTCACCCCGCTGGCAGAGAAAGAGAGGGGAGCAGCATTCCGAATCATACCAGAAACATGCTGAATGTTAGAATGGGTGGATGCTGCTCTACCGATCCCCAGGGGTCAAACAGAAAGCGATGTGGGCTCTAGCTGGCCTCAGCCGTCACTCCAGCCATGCCCTCTGATGCATTTCACCCCGCCCATTGGAGGCTTGGCCACGGAGGCTGGTAGTTGATAGACAGTTGATAGAATAAACATATTTGTACAGTATTAGTACTTTCAATAAAATTACTTTTAAACAATAAGAAAACATGACATAGATCAAACACTAATCAACACACAGGGTACAGTATGGGGAGGGGGGCAGAAGGGTAGAGCATGGGGGGGGGGGGGGTCAGGAGGGCACAATACTGGTATCTGGAGGGCACAGTACAGATTCTGGGACATGCTCAGGACAGCTTAGTAAAAAGAGTGGCTATCCTGGTAAATCTGGGACAGCTGGCAAGTATGATGTAATGCAAGATTATTGTGGGGCCCCTATGCACCTGGGGCCCCTGGGGCCCATGCATTAAGACATCTCTGGTCAGGTGCGGTGTGCATTAACTGAATAAATAGACTTTTTTTAGGTCTATCTGCACCACCTGCGCCAGTTTCTGCTTCAGAGTGAATTAGAAACTGGAGCAGGTCTGTACCTGGATGGCACAGTGGCTAAGTGGTTAGCATTTATGCCTAGCAGTCTTAGTTTCATCAGTTTGAATCCCAACCACAGCACTACCTGCATGGAGTTTGAATCTTCTGCTTGCTTGGGTCCCCCCCCCCATTCCAAGGACTTGTTGGTAGGTTATTTGGCCCTAGTATATGTATGAATGCGAGTTAGAAACCTTAGCTTGTCAGCTCCTTGAGGGCAGGGACTGATGTGAAACTTTTTCACAGCCTAGCCACATAGAGAGGCCCAACATGCAAAGGATCATCGTTAGGTGACCGAGGGGTATAAATTACACATTTAATTTCCTCACTACCTATTACACTTTTGAAGGCTCTGGAGCACCAGGACAATAGAATTACCAAAAAAATGATCCCATTTTGAGTAGCAAACACCCCCAACCTATATTCTGTGACGCATACAGAGTCTTTTGAACATGTCCTTTCTCTCCACAAGTTTTCAGAAAATGTGGAAAGAAAATGAAAACGTATTTTTTTTTTACACAATGTTGTCCATTTATATGATATTTCCAACACATAGCACATACATACCAAAAATTACACCCCAAAAATATATTCTGCTACTCCTCAGTATGGGGATACCACATATGTGAGACTTTTCCACATCCTGGCCACATAGAGAGCCCCAACATCCAAGTAGCACCTTTAGGACTTTTAGGGGCAAAAATTACACATCTAATTTCCTGAGCACCAGGACAGTGGAACCATCCACAAAATGACCCCATTTTGGAAAGCAAACACTCCAACAAATTTTTGTGAGGCATAATGAGTCTTTTGAAAATGTCTTTTTTTCCCACAAGTTTTAAGAAAATGTGGAAAGAAAATGAAAACCTATTTTTTTTAACACAAAGTTGTAAATTTCTAAGTTATTTTTCACACATAGAATGTACAGTTGTGTTCAAAATAATAGCAGTGTTGAAAAAAGTGAATAAAGCTCAAAATAGCTTTTATTTCCATACACACAAATGCATTGAG